CTTTTTTATATAATTTTTAAGTGCTCAGTTATCTTAGAAATGTCTGAAAAGAGTAGGTACCCTACAGAAAAAAGTAATACCTAAGGTCTATAATGAATTTTAAAAATGAAAAATTTATCTTGAATTTCAAAAGAGGACTTCTTTTTTTGAATTTGCAAGTCTGATGAATTGAATCGTAATTACGATTCCAATGTAATAAATTATAACCATGGAATATTAGTGTTTGAGCCTTTGTATATTATATTCTTAATCTGTTCTAGACATTGAGTTCTACCTGGATTCTATCCTCTTGGGAATTTATACATATATATATATATATATATATATATATATATATATATATATATATATATATGTGTGTGTGTGTGTGTGTATATAGGTAACTATACTCGTTTCGAAAAACCTTCGAATTTTGATTTGCCAATAATCAAATCAATCTCAGCTTTCCCGGACGATCTGCTTAGGTGAAACCTGGATAGGTTTGTCTGGTTCACTAGGTTTATCTCTCTCTCTCTCTATATATATATATATATATATATATATATATATATATATATATGTGTGTGTGTGTGTGTGTGTGTGTGTGTGCAGGTATGTAGAAAAAATAGGAAAGAACACGTTAGGTAAGTAGTCCAGGGTTCTTTAGTATTTTGTTTTTATTTTTTAAAAAACAGTGCTCCATACAGAAGTAGAGCTTAGATTATAATTATTTATTTTTTTTTTTTTTTGAATATGATTCCTTCATGAAGAAATCATATTTTTTAAAAATAATTATAATATATATATATATATATATATATATATATATATATATATATATATATATATGTGGATGGAGGTCAAAGTGTCCGGAAGGAATATGGTCAGTTGAAGGTTACAAATACAAAATTCAATATCTGTCTATATTTCTGAGAAGAGGTATTATGTACATTATTTACATTATTACAACGTTTCGGGCGTTGTACGCTCCGGCCTTCTTCAGGTGGTTGGAATGTCGAACTTTACCCTTTATTTCGTTCACTGGAGTAGATTGTTGTAGTTCCACTCACACTCTAGATCCTGTCACTGGATCTAACCAACGTCTTTATCCACTGTGCCATATGTCCTTAGATCTAGTGACTGGACCCAAATAGTGCGAGTTCAATACCCGGTTAAGGCAGTGGAGAACTTTCAGAGGAAAATTAACAGGCGATAACTGATAACTGACATCCATTAAACATGGCACGTGTTTCGGTCAAAGATTAGTATCGGAAATTTTAGCATTTTTTTTGCAGTTAAAAAAGACATCGATTTTTAAATTCTTGCAAAAACCAAATAATTTTAATGAAACTTTCAAGATTTATTTGCAAATGAATGAAAATATTTTAGAAACATTTTGTTTAGTAAATTTTGAAAAAATATCTTTTTAACATCTATTCCCACTGCACCACTACCACCACTTACTTAATTTCATTAAATTTCGTGAAATTAGATTTTTCCCCAATTAATATTTACATTAGTTAAAAGCATAATCCCTTGGAGAATTTAAATCATGAATTATTTTTTCTATTTTTTTTTTTTTTTTTGTGAAATAGAAACAAGATTTACCGAAAATCTGCTCTGAATCATAAAATAAAAGACATTATTTAATTAGAAATGCTTTTAATTAATTTTATAAATAAAAAACATATTAAGGGCGCTATTGTCCTAAAAAAAACATTTTTGCCATGAATAATTAAGTTTTACAAGAATTATCTTTTTTTATTTTTAATTATGATAATTTATTAAAGTTTGAAATCTTTTAAAATTCTTAATTAATTTAACCCTATTATATAATATTATCATTAAGTGAAAACTATTTTTATTAATGATAAAATTTTGGTACAGTTAATCAAAAACTAATATTTTTTTAAAAGAAGTTTAAATTTTTTGTATATGTATAAACCTTCTGTTTTTTGTAAATACGGATGTTCATACACGATATTACCAAAAATAAGACCGGTAACGATAATAAATTTAAAGAGAAAGTATCTAAAATTCAATAAAACATTAGATTACGGAGAATATTTTCCTAATTTTTACGATTACTGAGTACTTAAAAATTATATAAAAAAGGCGCTCACGCTATAGCCTTCAATTGTTTTTTTTACATATAAATTCCCCTCCTCGTAGAAAAAAAATAGATAAACATCCATCATCAAGCTGTCAACACTTTAAATAAACAGCTACCGTTTTGTTAAAAATTGCATTTTTGCGATATTTTAACCTTAAAGTAAACAATACATTTTTTCAAATCAGATTAATTTTACTTTAAGTTAGCTAATATGCCTCAAATAAAGTTTCAGAAAAGTATATTTTATTTTGAGATGAAATACGACTAAAAAGTGGCGCTAATAAGCTATTTTTGCAACACCAAAAAAACTATTTCCAGTCAATTTACATTAATTTTAAATTAGTTTTTGAAATGCTGCAAAGTATTTTGCTTATTGGAAAAATTAAATTTAATTCATTACGTTGAAATTAAAACAAAAATAAAATTTTCAAGACAAATTTTTCTTTATTAAAAATTCATTTTAAACCTTATATATCACTGTCTTCTGTAGGGGTACCTACTCTTTTCAAACATTTTTAAGATAACTAAGTACTTAAAAATTATATATAAAAAAAACGTTCACTCGCCATTTTCTTAAATTATGTTTTACCAGCTAAAAATTAGTAAAGGAAAACAAGAAGGAAGGAGTGGCCACCAGTTGTAGGAAGACAAGATATATAGGCTGGCAGAGAAAAAACCCAAGATGCAAACTTCGAAGTAGAGGTGTGAAGTTAAAGCGAGTATATAAGGTTTAACTAAGGATGGGAAGTCTGAGACTGGATGTAATGTACCTCTAATGATTTTGACACATTTGTAAACAAAAGTTAATTCTCGGTTTTAAGAATATTCCAAAAGTAAAATATACTTTTCTGAAACTTTATTTGAGGAATATTAGCTGACTTAAAGTATAATTAATCTGATTTGAAAAAATATTGTTTAATTTAAGTTTAAAATAACAGAGAAATGGATTTTTAAAACTAACAGTAGCGCTGATTACTTGCTTGTCATCGCTCGTCAGTTACGTAACAGGTACTGATAAACCTGTCAACACCTTTAATAAAGTAGTTTGTAACATATTATTTATCATCTCTCATTTGCTTCTCGGTCTTTAGGCAGAGTGCGCTCAGGAGCGGTTCCGTCAGTCGCAACTGAAGAAAATTATACTGAGAGGTACCCAGCCTTGGGGAACAGCTGCCCGAGGCCGCGCCCTCTCATTGCTCTAGAGAGAGGGATCGGTGCTCGCACCGAGGCCAGCGCAACAGACAGTTACGGGGGCTCGGGCAATTTTTGTTCGTAGCCCGGATGTACGCACTCGGATCCTGTTGTGATCAAGTAAATGGTTAAAGAAATAACAAAGCAAGTGTTGCAGATTTATCATATATTACAGTAAGTACAACAGAAGAGTATTACACGACTAGTGAGTATGTGTCGGTTGACCCACCGTTCAGTCTATTCGACTGCTCCCCCAAGGCCTTCTCTTCTATTAACCATAGTAGGCGGAAGAGTCCAACATAGACTCTTTAGAGGGAGGACACCACAAGAGGTCCTCACCTTAAAAACTGACCTTGTGTCGCATCTCGTATAGTTGGGAGACATAGTAAATATTGTGTGTAAATTGCTTTCGAACAGTTTGTAACACCCTATTTATCATCTCTCAGTTATGTTTCTGTCTTTGGACAAAGTGTGCTCAGAGGCAGATTCATCCAAGGACAGAGTCTCAACTGAGGAAAATTATACTGAGAAGTGGCCGCGCCCTCTCATTGCACCAGGCATACGGATCGGTGCTCGCACATAGCCTAGCGCAACCGATGGTTGTGGGGTTTCGGCCAATTTTTGTTTCTAGCCCGTGCGCGTACATACGGGCTCCCCACATTAAATCGACCTTGTTTCACAACGTGACTTCGTCGGGGAGGGGATGTCGAGTAAATACCAAATTACTCAGGCTTTTTAATCTTCGAATTCATGGGAGAATTGAGATCCAATTTCGCATTTTTTCGTATAAATTCCTTAATACAGGTCTTACTTAATTAACTGTTATGTTTCGCTAACTCTTCAAATGTTGAATTCTAATTTATATTTTTCCATCTTTACACTATATTAATTTTATCTGATAAATTTCCTCTGTTCTGTCACCCATGAAATAAAAATAATTTTTGTACGAAAAATAAGGATCTGCGTGCATCAAATCATCTTTAAATTAAGTGGCAGCAGAAGAATTATCATTGAACTTTTAAAAGGTAAGCTTAAACATTAATTCAATACTTAAATGCAGCGATCAATTTTGAGTTCTTTTGTAGTTTATCGATGCCTATCGCATCTACTCCTTCCTGGCTATTGTGATGATGACCAAATCAAGAGTCTTCCACAAAAGCTAGCTTAAATGCCGCCCGATAGGGCGGCTTTTAAGCTATTTATAATAAAACGTGCACTGCAATTTTGGATACAAGAACATAAGAGTTACTCCTCTTGAACCCTGAAAGCAACGACAATGACTAGTATATATATATATATATATATATATATATATATATATACTGATATATGTTTTTAACCTCACATAATCTGGCAACTCTGAATCTGAGCTCAACGAAAATCGTTCCCTGCGCCTAACCTTTCTGAGACTTTTGAATGAGCTCTGAATCATTGAAATTGAACCAGTGGGAGTAGAGGAGTTGCTTGGACACACACACACACACACACACACTACTCTATATATAAGACTTCCTGCTGCAATGTTAGGCAAAAAAATCGAAAAATAATCGCGTGTTAAATTCTTCCATAAAAAAGACAAATATGGGTTTCAAATCTAAATCTTTCAAGGTCGTTTCTGTTTGAAACATTTTAACAATGTTTCCGGGAAGTAAAATGTACTTTCGTTAATTGAAATATAGGCGTCGTTATTTCGAGAGAAATGAAAATTCTCATTCAAATGATAAAATGTGAGTCAGCAGGAGTTCTTCAATTCAGCTACCGGTCCCTCCTTCACCGTAGTTTGGAGACTGTCGGCAACATATTCATTCGCAGCGGTAGTGCCAAGGAAAACCATCAATATCTTTAGGAAGTGCCTCCAATTCAATATTTTAATTAATCCGTGTTTCGTAAATTGCTACTTATGTAAAAAGAACTTGAAGTTTCAACTATTCTAAAATTTTTACCGATTTGTTTTAAAAATCAACATTATCATCTTCCGACACGTTAACTATAGCAAAATGATAGAAATGAAAAAACGCGTATTAAGTAATGATTCCCATTAGTTGTTGAATGACAAAATACACAACACTTGAGAAAGTTAAATCTTAACAAGAATTGTAATTATTCATCTGCAATTTGGGAAAAAATAAATAGTACCCTTGGACAGTATTGTCGAATAAAAATAAAACAAACATCAATTTAAAGCAGACAAAATAAAAGTATCAATATGCAATTTAGGAAAGAACGAAAGGAAATGTTAAAATCGGCTGAGGTTATTATGAATGATATCAGGTATGAAAACTGAATTTAGATAACAATGGCACAGGTAACAATGGCACAAATAGTAATTGATCTTATAATCTGTTTTATAGATATTTATCCTTGGAAGCAAAATTTCTTTTTTAATACTTAATATGAGTTCCATGATAAGGTTGTGGTAGAGTCATAGAGATCAATGGTGTGTGCTCGACAGTTCCAGGAAAACTGAACCAGTAAACAGAAAGACAACTACTCTCCTCTGATTAGAAATTTAACTTGAAACAACTTAAAATGAAACAACGACTGGTCTTTAATTTTAAGCTGTTTAAAGAGTCTGGTTTTCAATTGTACCATTTTTTTTCTATTTTTATGCCATTATTAGCGTTCACTACTTTCAAGCATGTCAAGGTGAAAAGAAGAAACAATTGTTCAAGAGCAATTATTTCTGTATAATAAATATCGAAAGTTCACTGCACTATCTATCTATCTATCTATCTACACAAGTCTTCCCTATATCTATCTATCTATCTATCTACAGAAGTCTTCCATCTATCTATCTATCTATCTAACTATCTATCTATCTATCTACACAAGGCTTCCATCTATCTATCTATCTATCTATCTACACAAGGCTTCTATCTATCTATCTATCTACACAAGTCTTCCCTATATCTATCTATGTATCTATCTATCTACACAAGTCTTCCATCTATCTATCTATCTACACAAGTCTTCCCTATATCTATCTATCTACACAAGTCTTCCCTGTATCTATCTATTTACACAAGTCTTCCCTATATCTATCTATGTATCTATCTATCTACACAAGTCTTCCCTATATCTATCTATCTATCTATCTACATAAGTCTTCTCTATATCTATCTATCTACACAAGTCTTCCCTCTATCTATCTATCTATCTATCTATCTATCTATCTATCTATCTATCTATCTACACAAGGCTTCTATCTATCTATCTATCTATCTACACAAGTCTTCCCTATATCTATCTATGTATCTATCTATCTACACAAGTCTTCCATCTATCTATCTATCTATCTACACAAGTCTTCCCTATATCTATCTATCTATCTACTTAAGTCTTCTCTATATCTATCTATCTATCTATCTATCTACATAAGTCTTCTCTATATCTATCTATCTATCTATCTATCTATCTATCTATCTATCTATCTATCACTCTCATTCTGTATTCATAACATAACACCTACTGATATACGTAAATCTATATACTTTAACATAGGTACCTCCATGAGATCACTAAAAATTTGGAAACTGATGCCTGTGATCGATATCAGTGGAAGTGTCAATTCATAAGTGTACTAAGCTCTTCCAGTAACATGCAATGTACTGGCCAAATAACAGGCGTACAATTAGAAAAGGAGAAACCATTGATCCAATAATCCAGCAATTTACATATGACGCATATTTCACTCCAATGCAATGTTCATAAACCAAAAGAAGAGTCATATTCGTAGACCCTTTGACATTACGGCCAGTACTATGCTGGGCGTAACAACATTCAGGGTGTCAGAAAACCCGCTAAAACCACTCTGCTATCTCTCATCACATAAAAACCTACGATCAAGCTGAACAGAATTTACAAAACAGCCAGGGCTTGAATATAACCACTTAGTTTGTGACATCTGCAATAAGAATTGCAATTCATTTCCTGGCGTCAAGTGCTCGTGCTGTTCTCACTAGAAATAAGAACATTAATCAAACTTGTCACCGATGGTCATACTCGTCAACAGCCATTATGTGTATAGGTATGTATGCATGTAATATCACGCTACAAGTACTAATGGAATCATGTAACCCAGTACTGCCTGCCACGTTATCTGGTTATTGACGACTAAACCGGTTCCTCCACCAGGCTTTCCTATTGAGGATGATGGCTTGACATTGAGAAGTAGTAAAAACAAAACCTGTCAAAATGCGGATGAACCTTCTTCCGAAGTCAATGGCCATCTGGCACACAACTTACTGGGAATGTTAAAGCCTTAGCCTTCATTAATTTATTCGACTAGAATAAATACACTGATGTAACAAATGCGATTCACTGGAAGCCTATGATGGTAACTTTATTTTCTTTTCGGATTTATTACATTTGATTTCAGACTGTGCGTTTAACTCGGTGAACCATCTTTGCCCATTAAAAATAAGCTCATGTACTGGCATCGCTGGATACTGTGAGGTCATACTTTAACACTCAAAATGAATGTTGCAACAAGTTTAATGATGACTAACAATGTTATTAATGTAAATGTCTATGCTCTGGAACTGTTTCAGATCAATTGCCAAGCACTGTTGCTGATATAAAAGCGAATCGTTCATGTGGGACTTGTGAAAAATGTTGTGAATCACTGGCTGGACAAAAAAAAAGGCCATTTTCTACCGCAACACCATTAAAGGTGTCTAGATTAGTGCCATACGGTGAGTATACCCGATTAAGAGGAACCAGCTATCATATATGTATCAACATCCGCACCCTACATCAGCGACAGTAAACATATAAATAGCGCAGAAAATTTCAGTTCATGAGGGAGAAATCCGCCAACTACTGAACTGATAGATGGAAGGAAAGCTCATCCTTTTTTTTTTCATTCCTTCAACGACCGCTATGGTAACCCGTTCAAGATCTGAGAACGCCCCATATTAGCGACACCAGTTAATTAAAATATATTTTAAACTGTGTGCAAAACTGTGAAAACCACTTTTACCTATATACTTGAACACCAATACCGAATGACACAGTCAATATATACCACTGTTTTTGAATAAATGTTATTTTAGATTTGGTTAAACCGAATTTTGACTTTGTTTCGAATTGTTGCTTGTAAACGATAAATTTTGTATGTTTGAGGCTGCGGTACTGGTCAGGCTTTGCAAGCTCTCAACAAGCTGGTGACCCGACGTTAAAACAAGGAATATATATTGAAACAAAACAATTTCGCATCCAAAATTCTATTTAAAATGACTCAAACCAAAATTCTTACTACATAAAATTTTCATAGATGTGTACAGAAAGCCTTACATTCCTCGTCTTTCCTGACAGGCTTTTGCTGACTGACACAGTCTACCACACCTTTTTCTGTCACTCACAATTTATCACTACTTCCCTTTCATGGACACAAATAAAACACAGCGAAATACAGACCCTTTATTCCTTTTTTTCTCTAAAAACAACAAAAATTTCTAACCCTCACGAGGACGATTTTGAAGTATCCGCAAATCACCGTCTACTACCATTTAACGGCTCAAACATTAAGAACTGGTTTACTCACTTTCCGTCGGAAAAATAACATCACAGAAAACCAAGTTCGCTAATATGGTGGAAATGTTGCCACCCGAAATCGTAGACGAAGTAACTGATTTGTTAGATGCAGTGGCAGAAATAAAACCGTACGACACCGTCAAAGATGCTATTATTAAGAGAATGGGTCGATCCGAAGAGGCCATGCTTACAAGACTTGTTAAATAACATCAGTCTAGGCGACAGGACTCCTTCGCAAATACTGTGATATATGCGATTGCAAATCGGACAAAATATCATGTCTGAGAAAGTACTACGGCCGTTGTGGCTAGAAAAACTCCCTAACACCACAACGCAAATATTAGCACCAGCCATATCAACAAACTGGCATCCTCTACTCACGGAGTATCAGCGTATTCTTTGTCCCAGTCAACGCAACGAGCTGCAGAAATTAAAGGATGAAATGAGCGAACTGAAATCCATGCTGAAAGCTCTCCAAACTCAAAGCAGAGAGCCGAGAAGCCATTCACATTCCCGAGGCGGGTATCATAAAAGCAGGAGTAGAGAGAGACAACCAAATAGATAACCCCAAGGTGGTTTCTGCTGGTATTGTGGTGAATACGAAATAAAAATAACTCTTTTTTTCTCTACAGTTTTCAAATTCGCGTGTCTATGTGAAAATTTATTTTGACCAATGGAAAAGGAAGCGACTTACATACTGAAAAAAGTAACAAGTCGATGTTAAATCGCTTTTTGATATAAGTAATGAGCAAACTAAAAGCCATGTTGAAGGCTCTCCAAACCGAAGGTGGTTTGTGCTGACATCACTTCCAGTTCCGCAGTTATGCCAAGAAATGCAACAAACCCTGTAACTTCAAGCAACATGGAAGCACTTATTCCAGCCAGTAATGGCGACGACTGCAGTTGGAGGAAGAATAAAATAGCGTTTGTTCTATGAACAGCAGACACACGTTTCTTGTGGATACCGGAGACGAGATAAGTGTAATCCTACCACCACCCGGACACAGACCTATCCCTTTCATGTTCCGACTGAAAGCAGCAAACGGTTCCAAAATTCAAACATACGACACGAAGGAAGCTAACCTACACTTAGGACTACGCCGGAATTTCACGCGGAAATTCGTGGCAGCAGATGTGAACATACTCATATTAGAAGCCAATTTCCTTTCATATTACAACCTGTACGTCCACATGCACAACTAATCAACTTAGCAGACGTCAAATTGAACGGAAAACAAACGCAATTCAGCTCAACTGGAATCTGTTCTTTAACCCATCATTATAAAAATTACACCAATATCCTCGGCTAGTATCCAGACATTACTAAACCATTTGACATTAGTGATACGATTAAACATAACGTAAGACACCAGATAAGGACCACAGGACTCTCAGTCTATTCAAATCCTCGAGGTTTATTCTCTGAAAAATACACTTATGCCAAACAAGATTTCCAGCAAATCATTAAAGATGGAATGATCGAATCCTCTGAAATTCTATACGCTTCACCACTCCACCTAGTTCCCCAAACAGCTTCTAAATCTCTTCGTATATGTGTCGACTATCGACGATACAACGATACAGAATCGCTATCCCGTCCCGCATAAACACGACTTCACCTTTGGATTTCAAGGCATGACAGTATTCTCCAACTGGATCTGACTAGGGCATACTACCAGATCCTAGTAGCCGAGGAGGACATTCCGAAAACGACCGTAACCACATCTTTTGAGCTATTTCAGTTCAGACGGATGTATTTCGGATTGAGAAACGCCACTCAGATCTTTCAACATCACGTCGACAATGTGCTAACACGACTATCCCACACATACGCTTACATAGACGACGTCCTCATAACAAGGCTACATGAGACGCAACATAAACAACACCTACACGAAGTCCTACAAAGACTAGCACATCACGGCTTGGAAACAAACGTAGACAAGTGGATATTTGCAGTCAAGCAATTGCAGTTCTTGGGACACCAAACTGACGGAGACGGAATCTCACCTCTACCTAAAAACTTATTTTGGATCTCGATACTGGCAATTTCAACCGTCAACCTCACTTCGTCAGCTGCGACGATTCATCGGACATGTGAATTATTATCGTCGTTTCATCCAAGATTGTTCGAAAATACTTTCACCACTGACAAACATCTTGCAGAACAAACGAAAAGAACGAACAATCACTCGCACTCCATGCACTTGATGCTTTGAACCGAGCCAAATCGCCATTGTCAAATTTCATCAAACTAGCATACCTCACCGTCAATGTTGAAGCTAAACTGACTTTGACCACTGATGCAAGTACATCGGCTGTAGGTGCAGTTTTACCCTCAAGAGATTAATACCATCAAAGTACCTATATCTTTCTTTTCATTTAAACTCAGTCCAACGCAGTCAAAATTCAGCACCTTTTCAAGAGATCACTTAGCTATCCATCTTGCAATAAAACATTTCACACACATGCTGGATGGCAGAACATTCACGATCTAGAAAGAAATCCCTAACATACGCATTGTCGTCACTTCCTGAGGAGTACTCACCCAAAGACCCTCGTCACCTAGACTTTATGTCACAGTTCTCCACTGATATAAGGTATATCGAAGGTAACGCACTTTCTAGGCCCAAAACAAATTCTTTCGTTCTTAGTCACGACTTACTCGCTAAAGAGCAAGAATCAAACTCAGCTCTACAACAGACACTTCAAAACACTTCTATGCAATTCAAACTAGTGTCAACCCTATTTAATAATAAACATTGATACTGTGACACCTCAACACTCACCCTTAGATCTTCACTGCGATATCGCATATTTGATCATCTTCACTCATTCTCCCATCCGGGCAAGAAAGTCACTTTAAAACTGATCAGTGAAAGTTTTGTTTGACGTGAAATGAACAAAGACGTCAGATTTTGG